TGTTAAGGTTGAATACAAAGATTGCTTTTCTTGTGGTATTAGATTGCTGCTTTTTCAAGATAGTGTATAAACATGGTAGCCCATTTAAGGGGAGAAAACTGTGCCATGGCAAGTTGGCGTAGTTTTCCATTATCCTTGACTCCAGCTGTCTGCTATGTTTGCTATAATTGTAGGAGTCAGGACACAGAGGATGTGTCAGGTTCTAGATGAGAATGAGATCAAGGAGTGAAATACAAGTTTGGGCCTAAAAACAAAATAATTGACAAATACAGTTGTTTTTAAAAGGTTGAAGTAAATTTTAGGCTGAGGAACTTTTATTTTTACTAAAACACCACAATGGAGTTTTGCTTTTTCTAAGTAGATGTTTCTGGTGTATTTGACTGAAATTTTTCTCCTTTTTTACAGTGAAAAGGGCAATACTGTTCCCGGCTATGATTTTTTGGTGAATTCTGTCTGGCCAGAAATAGTACGAGGATTAGAAGAAAAATTACCCTCGCTTTTTAATCCTGGGAATCCTGATGCATTTCACCAGGTACCTTTTCCTCTGTTGTCTTGATTCTTGAAGGTGTTAACCTGAGATAATCATGTCTTTTTTGCACAGTCTTGGTTCTGTGGTTTATTGAAAATCACAATCTGAGTTGCGGTGCCAGCATTTACCTTAAAAATACACACACTGTTTTATTCAAGTCATAGTCTCTGATACTTTGGGGACTAAGAATGTATTTTAGTATGTAAGGTAGAATTCAGTCAAGAAGCAATTATGACTAGATATGGATGTTTTAAATCTTAATTTTAAAAAAGATCTTAAGGACTATTGACAACAACTACAGTTTTCAATGAAAAATTAAGTTTGTAGAACTCTGCTATATCACTTTGAAGGAAAACAAGAAGTAGTAATTGTAGTATATATTATGTAATTAATATTATAATTATTAATGTAGTATAAAAATGTCCTATATAGGGACATCCCTGGCGGTCCAGTGGTTAAGACTTTGCTCCCCAGTGTAGGGGGCGCAGGTTCAATCCCTGGTCAGGGAGCTAAGAACCCACATGCCTGGCGGCCAAAAACCAAAACATGAAACGGAAACAGTATTGTAACAAATTCAATAAAGACTTTAAAAGTGGTCCACATCAAAAAAAAAAAAAAATGTCCTATATAGTTTGAAAGATTAAGAGGCCTTGATATTTCTTTTTTTAAAAAAAAAATCGTGTTTTTTATCTAAAGGACTTCATGGTTGGTATATCAGAAGGAAACCCATATGTTAATTTTCCGTTTTTTAAAGATGTTATGTAGTGTCCTGGAGAAGAATGAAGACTCTAGGCCAAATGGCCTGAGTCTGCACCCCACTCTCCTGCTCAGTACCCTGTTGCTCAGCCTCTTGGTGCCTCTCCTCCTCTTCCTGCTCTGGATTTTTATTTTATTTTATTTTTTTTATTCAATATGACGGTCTTTGATAATTAATTTATTAAATTGACAATGATCGTCGTGATTGATATATTTTTGGTTTTTTTAGTTCTTCCTATTTGTCCCATTTTTCTTCCTTCTTTTCCTTTCTCTAGTCTTTTTCTTTTTTTTATTTCCCACCTCTTTATTTTGCACTTTCGGGAATTTGTTTTTCTCATTTATTCTCTTTTACCCCCCTACTAATTTGGAAGTTCTGCCCTCTGTTTATTTGTGTGTTAAGTAACCTTAGAGAGTTTAAGAGAATTTAAAGTTACTGGTGTTCTTCAGCCTCCCAAACAGCACAAGGATCTTAGATGCCAGTCATGCCATTCCATAGTATATATTAGTTACCACGGTCTTATTTCTATTTTGATTTTTTTATGCCCCCCCCCAAATTGGGCATTATTTTTATTGCTTTAACATGGCCATCATCTGCCTCTCAAAACTATTCCACATGTTTATCATTTCCTTTGCTTATTGTTCCTTCTTGGATGTTTTACCTTTTCTCTTGGATCATTTTCCTTCCTCTTGAAATTCATCTCTTACAAATTTATGTTGATAATAAATTTCACTTTTTTATGATAAACCCTCAGTTAATATTTGTTTGAAAATAACTTTATACCTTTTATGTTTGAAAGGTAGTTTTGCTGGAAGTAGAATTCTCTGCACGTTGAACTTTGTCACTTGAAAGTAGTTGTTGCTGTTGTTTCATGGTAGTTACAATGGCTTTTTCCTCTGGCTCCTTTTAAAATTTCCCCAGTGATTTTGGTGTGCTGTTTCATTATGATATATCTAGTGTGGACTTCTTTTTATTTGCTGAATTTAAGATTTGTTGGGTTTTCTGAATCTGAGGATTGGTGGTTTTTTAAATCATTACTATATCATTTTTATTCATTAACTCAGTGGTACTTCTGTCTCATTCCTTTACTATTTGCTTTTAGAACTCTTAATTAATTATCCTCACTTTATCTTTCATGCTTCCTAAATTTACTTTTTTATTTTTCATCTCTTTGTGCTACATTCTGGGTAATTTCTTGGATTTTTCTTCTACTTCAAGAATTCCTTTTTCAGTTGTGTCTAAATTCCTTTTCACCTGTTTCAAACTTATCATTATTTTCATTTCTAGCAGCTCTATTTTCCTCTTTTTCTACTTAATCTTACAAAATAGGTGTGTATAAATATGCATGTTCAATTGAAAAGTTCTTTCCAGTTTTATCTGTGTATGAAATTTTTCATAATAAAATTTGGGGAGGAAAGGGAAAAAAAAAAAAATCAAGTGTAGAGAGGCACAAGTTGAGTGTGGTGAGCCTGGGCCTAATAACTTCACAACAGGTGAAGTTGACAAATTTAGAACTTTATTATCAGAAATACCACTTCTCTGTTCTCTTGACCCTTGTTACAGTATGTTAAACCATATAATTAAGTAATATGATTTTCAACCAGTTGTGTGACACTGAGTTTTGTGACTTTATAAAATAGATCTTTATAAATAAATGAATAAAGTAGAGCTTTTAAAAATAGATACCATAAGCAGAATGAAGTAATGGTCTTAAGCATTAGCAATTTAGACCCTTTACATCCCTCTTTAGAGAATCATATTGATCATGTTAGGCTCAGGAGATTTTCCAGCTCAGACATGAAGCTTTCTGATGAAATGTTGACTTTAGAATTCTAAACCAATACTTAATGTTCGTGGTTACATTTCTTGTAAGAAATGCTTTCAGTTTTCAGTGTTAATGGGACATGCTTTTAGAAGAGAGAAGTTATTTTTGCATTCCTTTACCATCCATTATATGCAGGGGTGTAGTTTTATCCCAAAAGGGATGAGTAATACTTGTCTTTGTCTCAGCTCCTCACATCTAGACCACACTTAGGGAATTCAGTAAGTGTAGCTAAGAGTTGGACAGGCTGAGTGACTTTACTTTCTACTTTTCACTTTCATGCACTGGGAAAGGAAATGGCAACCCACTCCAGTGTTCTTGCCTAGAGAATCCCAGGGACAGGGCAGCCTGCTGGGCTGCCATCTGTGGGGTCGCACAGAGTCGGACACAACTGAAGCGACTTAGCAGCAGCAGCTCCAAACCAGCTGAAAGGAATTTAACACTATAGTGGTGTTTACTGTACTACAATTCCCATGTAATCACAGACATCATATTTAGGCGATTGGTTTGGTGACCCAGAAGAGAGCTTCTCTTAAGTGAGAAGTACATGGGAAATCCTGCAGTGTTCTCCCTAGAGCCTGGGGATTGAGAGCCCTTGCCAAAGGATGTGCCGCTGCAGTTTTGCACTGCTGACTGTCTGGGCTTCTGGTTCCTCTATTTCCTTGCTTTGTTTCTGAGTCAGTTCTCTCTGAGCCTGAGCAGAAGAGGAAGTGTCATCTCTATGGGAGATGATAATAAAAGCAGTTAACCTAGTAGTGTAGTTTTCTGGGTTAAATTAAATAATACAATTGTAAGCACTGTGTCCAGATGATATATGTTCAGTAAGTGTTACCTGCTGCTCTTAGTGGTGTTGCTAGATTCCCCTTGTCAGTCTTCATGCTGTCCCATCTATAAAAATGATGTAATGACTCACATGGTTTGAGTAATTTCTTTCCTTTTCTTCCCCCCTTTCTTTCCTTTTTTAAAATTTTCTACTTCTTCTTGAAAGGCAGTGAAAATTATGCCACTTAATCTGTGATCTCTTGTGGTTCCAGTGGATAGTTAGGGGTGCCCTAGAAGATGAGTGAGAGCTGTCATTTAAAGATCACTGGACTTAGAATACCTGGGTCTCTTGATGGGCTTGCCACCTAAGACCTTGAGCAAGTCATAGAACCACTTTGGGCATTACTCAGTGTGGGGATCTTCAGAGGAAGATCCTGTAAGGGCCTAATGAGATCTTAAACCTATGATTCTGTGTGTTGATCTTTACCTTGATTTCCATTGTTCAGTATATGATCCCGATTCTGGTTAGTTTCCTTAAAATGAAAATTCCACCTGTTTGTTCTTATTTTAGAAATATACCATAAGTATGGATTTTGTAAGAACATTTGAACGGCAATGTGGATCACAGGCCAGTGTAAAAAGATTAAGAGCACATCCCGCCTATCACAGCTTCAATAATAAGTGGAACTTGCCTGTTTATTTTCAAATAAGGTCAGTAATTTATTCCCATCACCTCCACCCTTCTGAAATAGGATTTGAACACCAGTTCAGATGGACTGAACTCCATTTCACAGCCCCTTCTTGGAGATCATCATATTATTCCTTGGGAAATAATTTAGAGCAGAAACGCACAAGAAATATCATGATTGCCAAAGTTCTGCCCTGTATGACAACAGGATTAAGTTTTACTCTCTTGTCATTAGCAAGCTGAGAACGCTAGACTCCAAGGGAGCTAGACCAGGCCCAGCTTCATTCCCAGGCGCTATGCCTTCATTCACCATGAAGAGACAGAGAGAGCTGGTCACCTGGCAGCTCTTCCTCTCCCATTTTCCTCTTCCATCACTTGCTTCAAATAGCAGACCTATCCTTCATCTATAGTTTTGCTCATCTGTAACATTTTTATCCTCAGAGGGAATCAGGAAAAGTATTCTTTCTTGAAATATTCTTTGTAGCTGATTCCATCCATCAATTTATAAGAATTGTAGTTATTATTTTGCCTTCCTTTATAATCTTGGTGAGTATTCTGGAAAATGGTGACACTTTCCTTCCAGATAGCATAATGATATCACCAGTGTCAGTAAGTGGTCCTGTAGACAATTTGGGGGCAATTTAGGATAAATTCTTAACCATGTATGTTCCCCTAGAAAAAGAGATTATAATATAGCCATTTTTGCAGATTCTCTTGAATGAGATCACAGTAAGTTCCTCCATAGAATGGTGTTAACTAAAGCATTTTAGTTAGAATGGTTTTTAAAGACTTGCAAGCTTTTTGTTTAAATTCCTGGATGCTTTCATTAATTATGATGCAGTCCTTCCCTGGAGGTCTGAGGAATAATTACAGAGAGGGAAATATATTAAATCCCTTGACTTGTAATTACTTGCCATGATTGATAATGTATATAATCGTCTTTTGATGATGAAATCAAAGCTGTCAGACCATTAGTATGGTGCTCTTTTTACATACAGTACTGAGCTTTAAACTTAATTTTTCAAGGTTATATTATCATGTAGGTAAGAAATTAAGGATTTGTTTGTCTGAGATACTCATGGACTGCATGGGACATAATCATTACGTGATGATCAAGATGTAGCCAGGGCAAGAAGCCCTTTTGGTTTGTGAGAAATATTTAAAATGGTGAAGCATCGTTTTATAGTGTAAGAGTGCAGTAGAGAAATAATATTTAAGCTTTCCGTGTCTCCTGTAGTCTCCATTTTGGGTTAGATTGCTTTAGATATCTAATAACCATCACAGCCCATACTCCTGTTTACTGCCTCCAAACGCCTCTTATCTAGTCATTTCCCCAGGCCCCAGACCCCCACACTTGGTAATCTTGCACTGTCATGTCATTCTGCCTTCTGGAGTTCTGGGCCCTGCAGGGTAGCACAGCCTGACCTCAGCCCATTCTCCTCTCATCATAGGTTCGCTCAAAGCTGTAATTGAGTCTTAAACTATGCTGAAACTCAACCAGTCCCATGAAAGACATTTTTAATCTTCACCAGAGTTCAGCCATAAGCATTCAAAGGAATTGCTTAACTTTTCTTTGTGAATAGTTTTATTTAAAATTGATGAAATTTTAAAAGTTATGTTTGAGTTATGAAGTGTGGAACCTGTTTTCAGTGCATTTGCTCTTCCACTTAAAAAGAAATTCAGGTAATACTTTATAGAACACCATTCTGTTGATTTTTGTCAGTGGTTGGGTTATTTATTCTCTGGGATAACAGAATGTTCTGTGAACATGGCTAGTGTCAAAACTGTATTGCTATCTGATTCACTTCAGGGTCATTTAAAGTAAGCCTAAACACCAGTAGGGTGGTGATGTTTCAGCACATTTCTAGGAAGGAATATCAGTACTAATATTGCACTGTCAGTAGCAATTAGATAGTCCCAGGTCTGACTCTGTGCCTGCCTGCATCCCCATCATCTTCAGGAAAAAAGGCACCCCTCCCACCACCACCATTCTGTGAGCACATGGGCTTACATGGGCACCCCTTCTGTCTCTGGTACCCTGTTGTGTCAACATACCCTATTGTGTCAACACTTCATTTGTTCTTCCAGGAGTTTTGGAAAGTAGGGTTAGGCATTAGTTTTCATAGAAAGAGATTCAATACACATGGGCCCCCAACAGTCTCAAATGGTAGTAAATCAGTGGCTGCCTGGAAGCTGGGTGTTAGCGCCTTAAATGCTACAGGCAGTGGTATGTCTTTTTTGATTGAACTCTTGCTAGAATGGTGTATGCTCTCAGGATGGTCACATGTGTGTTCTCTGTCTGTTCCATTCAGCACATGCTTAGCATGGTGTAGCTCCTTCACAGCATGGAGTCTGTGTGGTACTAACGTGCCTTCCTTCCCCTCCACCCTCCTCAAGTTGTGTCCATGCATCAGTAGAGCCGTGTGTGGGGGAGGGGGTATGTGTCTCCAGATCATCCCCATACCCAAATGGAAGAGTTTAGGAGTGTTTGTGTTTGGGGTTGCCTGTCTTACAAATCCTCTATCAAGAGTAGAATGGTATCCCATATGCATGTGAAAACTGTAGCATAACTTTTAAAATTTCACCAAAGTAACATCTCACTTTGTTTATTTTCTAAGAAGTACAACCTAACACCTCAATCCTGGAAGTTACTGGTCAGCAAAGCTACTTGAGGGGCTGGTACTGGGCTCCTGGAGGGTAGGGAGAGGGGACAACTGGGTCACATGACATAGACAGTTTTGGTCTCAGGGATCTCACACCTGGTCACACTTCATCTGCCCGTCTGTTTAAAAGGCATTAATGTTAGGGGTCTGCTGCATTTGTGTCTTGCACTTTCTCGTTTGTATGGTTTTCAGATTGTTGTGGCATACATACAGTTTTATCCTGTGTCCTGACTTACACTGAATGATACCTGTTCCTCTGATGGCCTCAGAACTTCCAGCTGACCTCTCTTCACACTGCATTCAGTAGGAACTGTGCCGCATGTTACGGAAACCTTCCCTTCCTTGGGCCTGTGAAGGTTGCTTCTGGTTCTCCGCGTTCTGAACAATGCTGTGTAGTGTCAGGCCTTTTCTGTGCTGAAGCCTCCTTCCTGTGTTTCGTGTGTTAACAGATGTGGGCAAACGGTGGGATTCGGGGTCTGAGGCGAGTGCAGGAGCTGGTCTGCTCTCTTCACTGCAGGGCAGCCCCTGCCCTCTCCTCCCCAGTGTGCTCAGGAGCACCGCCTTCTTTGCGGTTCTCCAGTGCTCCCTTCTCTTCCTCCACTGCTCTTCTGCCACTTGTTCCCTCTGTGCCTTTCCCTGCTGCTTGGAGAGACTCGCCTTTCGCAGGCTTCACGGGGCAGTTGCTGAGTTCTTTCCTCCCTGTGGCACAGGGAAGCTGTGGGGGGCGGCCAGCTCCAGCAAGCCGGGTGGGCCAGGGTCTTCTGCTCTCAGCCACTCGTGCCTTTGAGGGCACGGCTGCTGCTCTCTCTATGAAGTGCTGCTGCGTTTACTCTCCAGTTTCCTGAAGATCAGTCTCTGAACTGCTTTTTAAAAGCATATAAGTATTATCCAAAAAACCAAGATTGTGGATTAGGTAAATTGATGTTACGTATGTGTCAGAATTTATTGGTAGTGGGTAACAGAAGAATGTATGGTAAAGAAAGTTTGAACATGGAAGTGTTATATAGGTGGGAAGGAGGATGCTACATAGGCAGCTAATTAAGGAAATACATACACACACAGTTTCATTTCACAGTCATAAAAATGTGTCCACATCAGGTATTAAAACAGAAGTCTGTGAGAAGATGGTATGAAATGACAAATGGTCCAGCAGAGAAAACAGAAAACCCATCCAGAAAGCATATCCTGAGCCTCAGGGTGGGCCTGCAGTTACCAATAGCAGCACAAGAGACAGGCAGCAGACATGTGATGAGCGCCAGGCAGAGACTTGTTCTGGTTTAACTGTCTACTTTCAGTGATATGTCTCAAGCCGCAAACAAAGATACAGAATATGGCTTCTCCATTTCTTAGTTTGAGGGACATTTGCTTTCTTCTGATAGTGTGGAGGTAAGAGGACTGGAAAAACCAGTCTTATGGCCCTGAAGTGATTACCTGATTATAGATGGTGGGGCTTGCCATAAATGGCTTCCTTGTCAAGTAATTCAGATAAGTTTATTTCCTACTTAGTAAGAAAAAAAGTCTGGAGGCCAGGCATCAGGGCTGCTGGGGCATCTCTGAGGCACTCGCCCTAGGAGCAAGCAGGAGAATGGTCCTATTGCCTGGGGAGCGGGAGGTTGGGGGGACAGGCATCTGAAGCAGAGAAAACAAACGTTTACACTCTTGTTTTTCTCTCAGATTTAGAGAAATAGCTGGATCCTTAGAAGCAGCACTTACAGATGTCCTGGAAGATGCACCAGGTAACATCCTCAAAGTGACAAAGGCTATTGTTAAGTGGGTTAATTCCATTCACCAAGTCTTCTTGGTGGCCTTAGCACCCTGAGAGCACTTTGACCGCTTGCTGTCTTCCAGTAGTGTTACTTGCTCAGTCGTGTCCAATTCTTTGCAACCCCATGGATTGTAGCCTACCAGACTCTTCTGTCCATGAAATTCTCCAAGCAAGATTACTGGAGTGGGTAGCCATTCCTGACCCAGGGATCAAACCCAGGTCTCCTGCATTTCTTGCATATGAGTTACCATCAGAGCCACCAGGGAAGTAAGTTAGACCCTGAAGATACAGTTTAAGTTCTTTTTTAAAAAAAGGTTTCTAGAGCTTCCAGCTGTATAGAGACGATGTAAGGGACGCTTTAAGAACACAGGAAGGAGACCACATTTTCGTTTCTGAATATAATGTGTCAAGGGGATGTAACTCCTGCTGTGCTTAAGTGACAGCCTATTTTTGTAGCCTTGTGGCTACCATCCACTTCCCTCTCAAGCTGAGGTAAAGGATCAGAATGTCCCTTCCCTCCAGAGGATGACTCTCAGCTCGGACTGCTGCCTCAGGCCTCCAGAGTCCTTGGCCCAGTCCTGGGTCAGTGGGCAGGTGACTGGGGTCAGCCTACGCTTTCCAGACGTGTTTGCATCTAGTCATGCTTTAGGCGTCCCTGGTGACTGCTCACCTAGGTGACTGTTCCTCTAGCCACAAAGCTCCACCCCACTGTGCTCCCTTTTGTGCGGCCAAGTTCCATCTAAACTGCACTCTTTTAGCCTCAAAAGTTTATTTTCAGCTGTCTTTGCAAAAGTAGCCATGTGTAATTGACTTCCTATATTTAAATAGCATATTCAGGAGTGGAAGAGAAGACAGGACAAATTCAAAACCAAAGATTAAACCCTTCAAAGTGACTGCCACTCCAGTTCGCATGTGCTGCTTTATTATAAAGTACCTGTTAACTGATTATCTCTGATTGTTATATATGTTTCAGTTCAGTTCAGTTCAGTCACTCAGTCGTGTCTGACTCTTTGGACCCCATGAATTGCAGCATGCCAGGCCTCCCTGTCCATCACCAGCTCCCAGAGTTTGCTCAAACTTATGCCCATCGAGTTGGTGATGCCGTCCAGCCATCTCATCCTCTGTCGTCCCCTTCTCCTCCTGCCCCCAATCCCTCCCAGCATCAGGGTCTTTTCCAATGAGTCAACTCTTCGCATGAGGTGGCCAAAGTACTGGAGTTTCAGCTTCAGCATCAGTCCTTCCAATGTATGTATCAAATACCTGGGAGAAGGAGTCATGTAAAATTAGCAAACAGCGTTACAGGCAAGATGGAGTTACATGTCCACGGTACAGCCTCTTGGCTGGCCACACCCCCTCCCTAAATCTTCGCTGACCTCATAGGATTCTTCAGAATGTCATTGGCTTCACTCTTGGCTTGTCCGTTGCAGATTTTAGCTGTGAGCCCTTCTGCTGTGACTCCTTAACTGTGTGTTTTTACCTCTAGCTGGGAGCTCGTATCGCCTTATGGCTTCTCATAGGACGTGGAGCAGCCTTCAGAGGTGCTGGTCTGACAAGATGTTCTTGCCGCTGCTGGCGCATCGTCTTTGGAGACTGACGCTGCAGATTCTGGCGCGGTACTCCATATTTGTCAAGGAGGTGAGGGCTGGCTGGTGCTCATCCCTGATCAAGACTGAAATGAATTAAAGATAGGTTAAGCTAAACGTGCCAAGATTTTTAAAGCCCATGTGGTCATGAGAGGTTGATGCAAGGGCTATAGTCCAACTTCTCAGATTTCTATCCGTTTCACTGGATTTCCTTTTCGCTCTTGTTTATGTGACCTTTAGGGATATCAGTTGTCACATATTCATTGCTTTGTCTTTTTGAAAAGCACCGCACTGACCTCATTTTCCCTTAGGAAAACCAGAATCTTTGGATGGTGCCTCCAATATAAAGGCACCATAAAACAGATGATCATTTTAATGAAGATGATAAAAATAAGCATATTTTTTCCTTAATATTTGGAAATTGAAAAACACCAAATGGCTGAGATTAGAAGGTGGTAAAATTGATTAACCTTCCCTTCGTTTCAGAAACCCTTTTCAGCTTGGCTGTATTAGGTATTCATATGCCTATGATGACTGATTAGTTTTTGTGCATAAAGCCACAGGAGCATTCATGTGGTCCAGTGCTGAGCACCTGGCCCCACCAGGTCCGTTCCAGGTCTCAGAGATGCCTGTTGCACAAACAGCTCAGTGATAGACACACACCCCAGCCAGTGCAAGGTGATGAGTATAAGAGAGCGTGAGCGAAAGTGTAGGAAAGATTACATGGAAAAGCCATCATCCATGGACATGGAAGCACTCTGTCAACCGGAGGAGAGTGTTTCAGTGGAAAAAGCACAAGCTTCAAGTCAAAGTCAGACCTTGGCCCTGCTGCTCTTTAATTTTGTGGTCTTAGGGAAATTGGCCGAATCCCAGGTTCTTCGTCTGTAAAATAGGAAAACAGCTTCTACATGTGCTTGTTGTGAGGAGTGAAGAGATTTCTTGCCCAGAAAACTGATAACGAAGGTGCCCAGCAGATAATGGTGCTCCATCCAAGTTCCTCTCCTCTTCCTCCTTTGCCTCCCTCGACTCAGAGGAGTCTCAGTAGAGCACCCTGCCGTGTGAAACTGTTCACGAAGATCGTGCAGTTCCTGGGACACCGTGGACTTGATATGATCCTCTGAGGCCTGGGCTTGCTTCATCATCCCCAGCAAGATGCCAGCCAGTGATTATTCTTACACCTAGAATATTCCATTCTTTTCTCAATGCAAGTGCTCTGGTCTTAGGTTTTTTTCCCTTGTAGCAGTCCATTATGCAGAGAACACTTATGTCATTTGTATTGTTTGAAGCATAATTGAGGTTGAGACTTTTATTTTTTACCCTTATGATAATAATTTATTAAGTAAATACAGTAAATTGTTTCCTTACGCAGTTAATTAACTTTTTAAAACCTATGATGTTCCAGATCCTAATTTTCCTTTAGTTTCGGGACTTCTTGCTTTCTTTCTGACTGTTACTTAAGTCAAGGAGGGGAAATGCACATAGGATCAAAGTTTGTCATGTTTGTGTTTTTCACACCTACCTGGAGGGACAGGATGTGGTATCCTTTCTTGAGTTAACTTTCACTTAATACTTTGTGGACAGCTGGCATTTTGTGTTGAGTTACATGCTCATGTATCTCGCATGTGGAAACATTTTGTCACTGAAATCCTTTTTCAGCTTTTACTCAGGCCCATCTCTAATGAAAGTGCTAAGGATATTAAAAAGCCTTTGGTAACTGGCAGCAAAGATCTTTCTATCACCCAAGGAAATTGTGAAGACCAAGCAAGTGGCCCTTCTGAAACAAAGCCCATTGTCTCCATTTCCAGCACTCAACTTGTCTATGTGGTCACAGACCTGGACAGGCTTCAGGAGCAGGTGAGCCTGTGTTGCAGAGGATTCTAAGTGTGGGGTTCAGTGTTCTCACTGTCTGGCCTCATGGGGTTTAGACTTGTGGGCCCAGGGCCCCTGAGAGAGAGCATCCATTTACCTCCGTTCTGGTGTTGCCTCCACCCCCTGACTGGCATGCTCTCCTCCTTGGGTAGCAGCCTGTCTACGTGTGCCTGCCTGGAGCCCCCTGGCTTCCCCTGAGTAGTGATGCCACAGGCCAGGAACAAGCCAGGCCCTCATTAACTCAGCTTACTCTGTGGAGCCATGGTCTTTAATGGGTTGGATTCTAATTATTTCCAGTCTGCTTATCCAGTACTTATACTTTAAAAGTGCTGAACTATTACAACGTCTTCCTATTTCCTCCACATATGTTTCATGTTCTTGCTTTTACCATTAACAGAACTTTGTTTAAGAACAAAATGTGTTTAAGTGCTCTGATACAGAATCCTGCTTTTTTTGGGTTTAAGTGTTTTGTGGTGCTTGGACAAATACTGTATGTGTTGAGAAAAAACATGGCCTTTATGATAAGGTTTTTTGGTATTGAGGGGAACTGCAGAATAGTGTTAATAGCCATGAGAATATGATTTTCCATGTTGCTGAATTATTTTCTAGTGAAAGCATTAAGAATTTTGTTTTCTTCCGATGAAAGTTACTGAAAGTTCCGAGTTTAGTTTTATTATTAATTAATAACATTCTAGAGTTGTAGGTGCATATAGAATTGTCTCTTCCTTTGATTAATAAAAAGTAACTGAATATATAAAGTGCATATTTATTTCAGCTTCCAGAACTCTTAGAAACAATCAAGCCAAAACTTGAAGTGATGGGCTTTAAGAATTTTTCTTCCATCTCAGGTAAAAAATGAATCTTTAGATTCAGCAAATCTTTGAATAAGAAATAACTTAAAATAGAATTTTAGAGACTAGGATATATTTAATTAACAGTTTTCTCTAGTTGTAAATCCTTGGTTGTTTCTGTATTCTGTTCTGTGATTTTTAACTTCTCTGAATGAAATTTTTTTTTTTTTATCTTCCAAAGCTCATTTGCATTTTATTTTTTTTTTCCATTTATTTTTATTAGTTGGAGGCTCATTACTTTACATCATTACAGTAGTTTTTGTCATACATTGAAATGAATTAGCCATGGATTTACATGTATTCCCCATCCCGGTCCCCCCTGGCCTGGTGCACTGAATGAAATATTTTAATTCTAATAATTTGATTTGATTTGGTTTATTGTATACTCTCTTTAGGCCTGAGCCTGAATAGAGTGATAAAACACATCTTTCCATCTCTGCAGCAGCCCTGGAGGACTCCCAGCTGTCTTTGTCTGCCTGTGTACCCGCCTTGAGTGAGAAAATCACCCAGGACTTAAGTGAGTCTTGCTTTAGTCACCTGAAAAGTGCCCTGGAGGTTCCCAGGCTGTACCGAAGAACCAATAAGGTCAGTGCACTCATTGAAAAGCATTTTGAGGTGGGAAAATATGTATCAGGAAGGCAGAGATGGAAGAAGTGGTTAAGTGAGAACAGAAATGGATTCTCCAGGGGAGAATCCATCTTGTTCAGTTGTGAGAGGAGGCTCCTCAGTAGATGGCCAGGGCCTCGGCACAAACATAATGTAGGTAGTTGGACTTGGGCAGTATGGACTTTGGGCCTTAAGGGAAAATAGTATTTTCAAATAAAGCATTTTAATAAAATATTTTAAGGCCTGCCCTTCTTTTGGGTTTCATATTCTATATTTGAGAAGATCTGAATTTACCTTATTTCTTTCATATTGCCATTGGAAGTACCTGCTTCTGTCTTTTACTGGATATGGTATAAAAAAGTTACATTAAAAGCTATTAAAGGTATTTATAAGGTGAAAAATTGAGCTTATACTGGTATTCAAAGTCAAATTCTCCTTTGTCTTCACTTTCTAGAATAGGAATTGGGGAATTTGTTTTTAGCAGTGTTTTAGTTTTTCTCTTGAACTCTCATTTTCAAGTGTTCCTATTCATTTCATTCTTGCTAGTTCATATTTTCCTTCTAATTTTCTTTTCTCCTGGTTGTAAAGTTGGATTTTAATTTACAACTAAAATTATTCTCAGGACCTGTGAAAATGTCCTGCAGCATTGTGCTATTTTGGAATATCCCTGGAGTTTCCACACGCACACCCAGTGTGGGGCCTGGTGTGCCATTGATGTTACTTTTCCCACCCAGCCCCTGCTCTGGGTGTGGGGAGTGGCTGGGCTGCGTCCTGAGACAAGCTGAGCTCATCTCTGTGGCTATTCTCCTTTTCCTTTTAACATCTAGGCCATATAGCAGAATTTCCACTTCTGGGAACAACAGCAAGAGTACCTACTCTCCTGATGTTCTGGTCTGAAGTGGGAGAAACAGACCTATTTTAGTTTGCCAAATTCATTACTTTTCCTTTAGGAATCTACCAGCTTTCCCTTTTTCATCAGCAGGGTGTTGTTATATTTACCAAGTGCTTGTCTCGTGGGTCAGACACTGTACTAAACACTTTATACTGTCATTCATCCTGTGAAGTGAGTGCCAGTGTCATTATTTATAGGTGAAGAAACCAAAATTAAGAAAAGTCCTAGATCCTCACTTCTTAAATGGTGGTCTGTTAAACAGCAGCAAATGGTCACCAGTCGGAGCTTGTTATAAATGCATGGTCTCAAAATTTGGCCCTACTCACCTCCTGCCCAGTACACACACACAAAATCAGACCTAGAATTAACGAAGTGGCCAGGTGCTTTGTGTGAACACAAGGTTAGGGAACCTGAGTCCAGTCGGCTCTGGGCATCGTCCTTTGTGGCTCCCTCTTGGTCTCCAGGGTCTTTCTGTAGACAGCACTTGTATGTGTCTCAAAACTGGCACCTTGGTAATGTCCTTTTGAACATGAGGTTTGAGTAACTTACTTTCTCCTTTTCTGGCCTCTTTAACCTCTACCAACATTATCCCAGGAGGTGCCAGTGACAGCCTCCTCTTACGTGGACAGCGCTCTGAAGCCATTGTACCAGCTTCAGAGCAGGCACAAGGACAAGCTCAAGCAAGCCACAATTCAGCAATGGTTAGAAGCCGCTCTCTCTGAGAGCACGCATAAGTAAGTAACTTACAAGTAGAATATTCTGGACTTTCTTAGAAAAGTCCTAAGTCAGAGATCACTGGGACCATCACAGTTGTTTTCTGTGGCCTATCTCTGGACAGGGCTCCATGTGGGCACCCAGTCTCCTCCCATCTGTGCTCACTCCACCCTAGCCAAGGCTCTGCCTGGCCTGCAGCCATACCAGCCCTGCCTCTCACAGCTCACACGCCTTTTAGGACCCAGGCGTATTCCACAGTCCCCCTGAGCACACTGCCTTTGACTGTCCTTAATGTCACTTCATGTAGGAGTGTTCTGCAAGTCTAGGCACACTTCCTCCTTTCAGGTCCTTTCTCCTCAACTCTGTCGGTCCATAATGGCTCCAGTCATGCCACATAACCAGCAGACTTGCACTGGGGAGACTAGGGTAATGAAGGAAGCAAACATGTTCATTGTGAAGTGTAATTACAGCTCTTACAGGATTGCTGTCAGATCCTCAGGCTGATGAAAGTAGAGGAGGTCTTCAGTCTGGTTGAATGCCTCTTCAGTTCTAATTCAACCAAAACTGTTTTCCCCGAATCCAGCATTGAGTTACATCAAAATATATTATTTGATTTTGTTGTTGAATTTTAATTATTAACTTTGCAATAACATTTTGTTTCTTTCTACTGCTTATGAATTAAGCAGCATTTGTGAGTTAATTTAGAACACAGCAGCAAGTTATAATGCGGTTTCTGTGGGCAAGTGTATTATAAATGCCAGGTAACCAGTTTGTAAATAAAATTTTGAAATATAGCTCATTTATAATTTGGAAATCATTTTGAAGGCAGTTAGTTTTGTTTAAAATTTTTGAAATACTTTTACTCTTTAAAAAAGATGAGCTGTTCCTAGAACTGATTGTAAATGAATTTGCTACTTTCATTTGGGAAATGAGCTGCTGTTCAGCCTTGAATATAGGAAAGACTTCGGCCTGTGATTTCTCTTAGTGTTCAGGACGGACATTTTAGACAAAATTCATATACATAGTTCTTAAATTCTGAGGGAATACAATGCTAGAGAGTCAAGACCCTATTTTTCTTTCAGTCTTAAACAGTATTTACCATGGCTGATCTTTTATTGGAATTGAATTTTTAACTAAAAAAATCCATTTTTTGGTCCACAAAGCTCGTGGATGTGTTCGGTACTGCGTCTCTGACCACTGTCTTATGTTCAAGGTACTATGAGACCGTGTCGGATGTCCTGAATGCTGTGAGGAAGATGGAGGAGAGCCTGAAGCGGCTCAAACAGGCCAGGAGAGCCACTCCCGCCAGCCCGGCTGGGCTTAGTGGCGGCGGCATGAGTGATGATGACAAGATCCGACTACAGTTGGCCTTGGATGTTGCATATTTAGGAGAGCAGGTGACCCGAGCGCCGCTGCCCTTCCAAGGGGCCTGACTGCATTCCAAGGGCCCCGCAGGCACCCGGCAATGCCCCTGAGCCCAGAGATACTGGGAGGGACCAGACACTTGAAGGAAGAGGATGTGCACCTAGGAAATGTGAGAAGGAAAAAGCAGACTTTTTGAGGTCCAGTGAATTGCCATTCTCTTGGCTTGCTGGCATTCATGTTCCCAAAGCTGCTGGGACATGAGCCCATAGGCGGAGATGGTGTCCTTTTGGTCCAGAGCCTGAAACGTGCTTGATGTGGCATTGGTGCTAGGTGGCTGAGGTTCCTTTGAGATATTTGTTAGTTTGGCTTTAGAATGACTAGAGAAGCATTAGGCCATTGATTCTCCATGTGGTGCTTGAGAACTCATCTCAGCACAGTTTCTTTGTCTCCCTGCCTGTGTTTTTTAGGTTTTCTATAAAACACAAATTTTGGTGTCACACAGTGGATGGGTGGACATTCATGTAGGTACCATCACCTATGGGCAAGTGTGGATCCTACGCAGGGCCTTCCATCCTTACTGAGTGTCAAACTTTGGAATGTTCAGAAACTGGCTTTCTCAACTGCTTAGGCTTTCTGTAGCAATAAATCCTCAAGAAAGACCTTTTTAAAAATTATTTATTTATTTATTTTTGGCTGCACTGGGTCTTTGTTGCTGTTCATGGGCTTTCCCTCGCTGCGGCAAGCGGAGCTACTCTTGGTTGTAGTACATACTTCTCAGATAGTGGCTTCTCTTGTTTCAGAGCACAGGTTCTAAGGCATGTGGTGCTTCAGTAGTTGTGGCACTTCAGTGGTTGTGGCACATGGGCTTAGATGCTCTGTGGCATATGGAATCTCCCTGGATCAGAGATTGAACCCATGTCCCTTGCATTGGCAGGCAGATTCTTAACCACTGGGTAACCAGCAAGACCTTTTTGCTAGAGAAAAAGTGATATCATAACATTCCCATCAAAAGATGCTTGGTTTTCTAGTCACTGTTTCTTATGACTCAATGTCATCACTGAAAAATCCAGATTTTTCCGTTTTCAGGTGAATTTACAGGGATATCCTGGCAGAAAGTCTTATTACCTTCTTCTGTTTACTTACTCTGTTTCACAAGAGAAACTTAAAGTCTTTTTTTTATGGGCAAAAAAGTTGGTCATAGGCAAATGAAGAGCAAGTAAGCAAAAGAACAGGGAGATGGGTTCCTTGCATTCCCCAGACCAGCCACAGCATGCCAGCAGAGACTGTGCAGTGGGACCGGAGTTTCCCGGACTCCGCTGTGCTGTGTGCACGTGTGCTTTTGGTGGTGGTATTGAGTGAAGGGTGACGCACACTGTGCTGCATCTCTGCTACCATATGGTTGCTGTGCCGGAGTTGTTTCTAAGAAAAGGCTGTTAATGATATGCTAAGAGATTAAGACCTCAGGCAAGTCGTTTTTGAGAATTCTGCACGTAGAAAGTTCCTTTTCTTAGTGTGAGTTTTCTCTTCCAGCCTATAAGAGAGGCTGTTATCCTGGTGAGAGAATGATTTAGTGAACGGAGATAAATTGACACTGACTTCTTAGAATGACCTCCAGAAGTAAATGTTATAATAAGTACACTTTTTTACTTCATTTATTTGAAAGTAAAAAATTATTCTACCAGTCTTCAGGAAACTGCCTTTTTCTGGTTTAGTGGAGGATGAGGTGAGGGTGGATATCTTGTTTTCTTTGTAAGAGTCTCTTCCATGTTCAGCTAACTTGATTCATTCCCGTGGTCTTTACAGATAGAAAAGATGGGCCTGCGAACAAAGGACATAAGAAGCTTTCCGGCTCTCGCAGAGCTCGTTGCTGCTGCCAAGGACCAGGCACCTGTGGACCAGCCTTAAGCATCTTGGAGTAGCCCAGGGGAAGGTTGGACCTCACGCCTGCAGGGAAGAAAGCGTCTCTGTTCTCTGTCAGGCTGCAACACGGACGTGTGTCCACTGGTTCCCAAAAGTGCGCCAGGGCAGCTTCCCTCAGTGTCTTTGGGTCTTCTTTCACCCAAAAAGAATAATACAAAAGCCTTTTTCCGTTGTATGGAAGATAATTTTAAGATGTTTGAAACTTTCTACTATAGTTTACAGAGCAAATTATTTTATTTTTGTTGTAAATCTTAGCGTGGAAGAGATGATTTCTAAAATATGCTTGAAGTAAATACATGTATGTCTGAATATAAACAGTCAGCTTTCTGGTCCTGCAGTTAGAAGGGACTGGCTGCAGACGGGTAGCTCCACTGTACACACACCCTTCTCCCTGATGACTCTGAGTTTCTAGACGGGGCTGCACTGGTGGCTTTCTATCCTCCCACTAGGTGTTGAGAACAGCCCTCATCACCCAGACCTCTGTCAACAGCAAGAAGCAGCAGGGGGATCAGTGTCCTAAATAAAAGAGCCTGCCAAAGCATATGCACCTCTTATTTGTGAATTCAGCACAGTCAGATACTATGTCCCCTCTCCTTTGCACCTGTAGGTTCTATCTGTCATGGAGTACCCTTCAGGTATGTGGCAGATCTGGGCTGTGGGAGGGTGACCCAACACACCTTCCCACTGAAGGCAGCAGGGCCCCTTCCTAGCAACCTGCTCCTGCGTATGGGAGAAGGGGGAGAGTCGGGAATGTTGGGAGGTGGCACTGCAAGCATGTGGGTGCCTTGTTCGCTCCCATATTCACACATATGTGCAGAGTGCATGTGCATGGCTTTGGCTCTGCCCCTTCAGCCCAACACTGACATGAGAGCAGGTGCACCTCTTCTCTGGGTTAACTGGAGGGGGAGAGAAAGAATAAGTGACAGGGAAGGAAAAGAGCTGGCCTGGGAGCTGGCAGGAGTCACGAGATGGGACTGGAGAAGTGGGAGGGAGAGGAGCGGGTCCCCAGAGAGCACTGAGCACTGCAGGCGGGGCATGGGCCCTGTCCAGGCTGCCAGCCTCCAGCGGGGCGTGCTCTGGCGTCTACTCTCTGTTGGAGAACAGGCACTCTCTTAGCAGGGAGGGCCCTGCCCTTGGACAGATGTGTATCTTAATTTTAAGAAGCTGGTGAGAGGAACAACATTGAGTGAGACAGCAGGAGGGACTCGCTCTCAGGGTGTGAGCCCTCATCTGAAGCGCCAGCTCACCAGGCTAGGCTGTGCGTCCTTGTGTGGTGCCGGGCTCGTGGGCAGCAGGGGCAGGACGGGCGAGAGGTGGGTGTGCAGTGCAGAGCTGCTGAGCTGGCACCTGCAGACCGAGCGGGACCCTGGTCGCCTTGGGACTCCATGTTCGGCACTGGGGTGCCTGGCACACACACCTCGGATCTGGAGAAGCTAAGGAACAGGCCTGTGGTGCCCACAGCCTCGTGCTCCCAGGTGAGCCTGTGACAGCGTAGCAGAGTGCGTGGCACACGCTGCATCGCCATGTCTTCAAGTCACACATGTTCCCTGAGGCCACTCCGAGCTCTCTGCACCAGCACATCCTTCCCTGGCAACTGTGCCGTCCAGCTTTGGGCGGAGGTGGGCTCCAGCACTGTCTCTGGCCACTTTACCTCTCTTGTCTCTGAATGTGGTGGACAGCAATCAGGTGTATCAGCCCCTCCATCGCCAGCACTGCTCTTCCCAATCTGCAGAAGAGGGGACAGAAATTAAGGAGTGAAATGAATAAGATTTGGGATCTGATGACGTTCTTCATGGGGCCTTGAGCTGACTCCCCCTGGCTGTCCTCAGGCCAGGGCTCGTGCCCACCAGGAATATCAGATTGAAGGTAACCATGGCTGCTAAATGATAACCTGATCTACTGGATAAGCACTTTGTAACCCCAGGAAGACATAGGATTTGCTGTGGAAATATTGAAGAGAAATCTCTACAGTTAATATTTTTGTGTTGAATAATCTACAACATGCTGCTATTGAGTATCTTGACCCAAATTTCCTTTTGTCAGTATAAAAGAGCTCTGCAACAAGGACAGAGAGTCCATTAGTCTGCTGCCAGTTGCTCTCTGAAATAAAGTCAAAAACACCAACATTCTTCTTCCTCCTGCTGCCGTGGTAGTGCTGTCCCAGGTCTATGCAGACAACTTCAGAACCACAGTTACGACTCAGGATAACTCTTGTCCAGCTGGGTCCCCTCACCCAGCACAAAGCTGGACTTTCAGTGGGCCCCTCACAAATATATGTCAAATGAAGAAAGGCATTTCCTGGGAGGATATTTTTTGGCAAGCAGCTCTGAATCCAGTAATCATGTATTTTGAAAATAACCATTTTTTGCTTGAAGTTGTCTGAGAAATTACAGAAGACACTACAAAAGTTATGTTTCTGGTCTTAACATGTGTCCCCTTGAGATTCTAAATCCAAGTGGTGGGTCCTGATTGGCTGTGGCCACATTCCCTTCTAGTAGCCTGTGTTTGGAAGGGAGCTTTTGAACATCACTTAAAGCTTTCCCATTTTACAAATAAGGATGGGGAGGCCTGGAGAGGTGAAATAACTGGATCTGGGTTAGTAAGTGTTGGAGCTGGACTTCCTGCCAGCCCGCTGTCTCTAGACCCCTTGCTCCTAAGCAATTCCATGCTGCATTCTGTGCCCGGTGCCGCAGACTAGAAGCCTCTGAGACCCACAGAGGTGGGAAGGACAGCCATCTCCCCTGACATCGAAACTAGGCAGAGGGTTTTCGGCTGCAGAAGGGGCACTTGGGTGTGTAGGGAGAGAGCCTGAGATGCTGGCCTTGGTCCAGGTGCAGACCCTGCCTCCATCCTCACAGCTCCCTCTGGACGAGCCAGGGCAGACTGGGCAGCTCCTACAAGCAGACCACAGATACCACCCATTTCCACCCCTCAAGCCTCCCAGCTCCCCTGTCCTCCCTCCCCTGCTCCTTGACCCTTGTGATAGTGGCTACACTGCAAGCCTACTTAGTCCTCTGAGTATTCATGGAAGGGAGGGAGAGAACGTGCTTTCTGTTCATTTCACAGTTAGGAGAAAACAGCATGGGCCCACCTCCTTCCCAAGATTTAGAATGTGGGGTCCGCACTGAGGGCGACATGTGCCCATGTTCATGGGTGAAGATTTCTTTCTCCATCTTCTGATTCCAGGCACAGTGTCAACAGCACTTCAGGGGGTGTCCAGGAGGACGAGTGACAGCTACCCCCCACCCAGTTTTGCCCAGCGGGGTCTGTGCAGCTGGTCACCACCACCCAGAACTTCTCCAGACAAGGCTGAGGACAGCCTGTGCCTTCCATGAAAGCCCCACGCAAACAGGGCTCCAGGTCCTAAAAAGCCCTTACGTTGGTACAGCCTGCTAGCTACCTCACACATATTTGTCCTGCTGCTGCCAAGTGAAAGAATTTTTCTTTTTTGTTTATTGTTGCAAGACATTTATTAATAACACAGGGATAATCAGCCAGGGATTATGGATTAACATACATTCAGACACTTGTGTTTTTTTCATGATGTGTTTTTCAGAAACCGCAAGTATCAGGGGAAGGAAAAACAGAAACCCAGAGAAAGGAAGGCATTAGGGGACCACTTGCAGGTCATTGTCACCGTCAATAAGCCAAAGGTAAACCTGGGGCAATGAGAAAGGGGTGTTTTAATTTTAATGCCCAGTTTTGTTCTCAGTGAAAAAGGAAACCATTTTTGGTTTCACAGTCAAGCTGATGTGTTCAAACTCTTATCAGAAGCAGTGGCCTGTGCAAAACATGGGCTCATGGCACTGCATCCACCACCACCCCCCAAAGGTTGCTCACTGTACACAGTGCACGTTTCCTGAGCGGAGCGGCTGCCCGCAGCTCCCGGTGGACTCCGTGGAAGAGAACGGGGACGTGTAACGACACCAGTGGTGACACACGGGTGGCGGCCTCACTCCGCACTCAGCGGGTTGGACACGCGGCCCAGGAAGTGTAGGGCGGCTGAGTTTCTCTCCAAGACAGCCAACAGGAACGGGCTGTTGAGGGTCACCTCCAAGGCCTCTGGCCCGGCAGGCTGTGGGATGGACTCTGGGGCCTGCTCTCCATCTGCTTTTAGTTCAAAAAGGACGCTGTTCAGCACCTGCAAAGCAGTGAGCCTGGGGGTCACTCCTGAAGGCCTGGGCCCCAGGGGGGACCCTTCTCCAGCCTGCCCACTCTCACTTGACCCAGCTCACATGATGCGATGGCTCCTCTCCAAAGTGTCCCTCAAACCCGCCCATCTTCACCTTCCCCTGCTGTCCCGGGCAGACGGAGTCTTTGGCCCCTGGACCATGGCCCGCCAGGGCTTGCTTCCTCTCTCTGCTAACAGCACAGAGGGCTCCGAGGCCAGCACTGTGAGCCACCCCCCACTTCTCACCCTCCCAGCGTTAAGGCTCTTCTCAGCTGTGGGGTTGCATCACCCCTGTGCTCCTGGGACAGTCCGTCCACTGCTGTGTGCTTCCCTGAAGCCAGGAGCTGAGTGCCAGGGCCGGCGGCCAGCCTAAAGGCTCTGCTCTCCAGGCCCTAGTCCTGACCCTGCTGTAGGATCTGGAGGGGCCCCAAGGCGAGGCCTGGCTGCGCAGAGCCACGAACACATGCAGGGGAGGGTTTTGCTGCTCTCCAGCTGTCCCTGGGAAGACCTGGAGAGCACTGCTCACTTCTCCCCCACCCTGGGCCAACAGCCTCCTGGCCGTGTGCTCACGCCTCTCCATCCTAACTGCCTCTACCCAACCCCCCAGCCCACCGCCTCGGTGAAGCCTCCTCTGTGTCCCTCTTGCCCTTGCCTCCCACTCCACGAACATACAGAACCCACGGGAGGCAGGCACAGATAGCACTCGCCCAGTACCTTTCCAACTCTAAGGTTGGCATCGCTGATTTTGCCCAGGTTTGCCTCGGCACCCAGCAGGGTAGGCAGCTTGGCCTGGGCAAGCAGGTCCTGCAGGTCATAGGACGCTTTCAGTGTCAGCTGCGGCATGGTGAGGTGGATGGCCCTGGGGAGATGACGCATGGTTACCAGGGGTGTCTCATAGTGTGAGGCGCTGGCGCACGCTGGGCTCACAGAAGACCTGGGAATCATGTGCTCCTGAACGAGGAACTTTTGCCATGCTCACTCAGCTAGGGTGTCTTGGGAAAACTTTCAGCAATAAATACACTGACAAGCTTTCCTTTTCTTTGAAATACTATGAGAGGGAGGTACAAAATTCAACAATGGAACTTTCTGAGGGATTGATGTGAACAGTTGTCAGTTCTACCTTCTGTTCCTTTTTTAGGTTGGCTGCATTGAAAGCGTGCTCAGTGGGTAATTCTAAAATGCTATCCTCTAAAATAATGTCATGTCTTATTACTTCCCAGTGCAGTGCTGAGCTCCCCGTGGGAGGGGGAGGGGAGGGGCAGGCACGAGGTCAGCCTCTGTGTGGGCGCGTCACTTACGTCAGCTCAGTTAACCTCCACACAGAAGCCCTGCCTGCCTTGGGCATGCCTGAGAGCCCATCGGGGTTTCCA